GATCCTTTCCCTTAGGAAGATCAACAAGTTCCCACGTGCCATTTTTATGAAGGGCATTAATTTCTTCCTTCATGGCATTTGTCCATTCTGGTACTAAAAGAGCTTCTGCCACATTCTTGGGATTAGGGACACTGTCAATGGAGGTAAGGAAGGCACGAAATGAGGGTGAAATGTTCTCATAGGAAACAAAGCTGGAAATGGGATGTTTAGTGGTGCACAACCTAACACCTTTCCTATGGGCAATAGGAAGGTCAAGATTATTAGCAACAGAGGAGTCAGGAACATCATTGGGAGTCAAGTTACTTGAGTGGGTATGATCTTCCCCCGAGGAGTTTGATGGCACTTGAGGTACAGCTTCTGGATTCTCCATAGCTCTTGAATTTGGTTGGCCTTTGCGACGACGAGAAAAGACATGGAAAGGTGGAGGATCGGGAAGAGAAGGAGGCTGAACCAATGGCGAAAGATCAGGAAGAGAACGAAACTGAACCAGTTTCTCCTCATGCCTACACTCCCCCTGAGGAGAAACCAGAAAAAAAAGGCTCATTTTCAAAGAAAGTAACATCCATGGAGACATAGAATTTCCGAGAAACAGGATCAAAGCAACGATACCCCTTTTGAGTGAAAGAGTAACCAAGAAATATGCATGGGATAGCACGAGAATCCAATTTCCCACGGGTGGGAGATAGATTTTGGACAAAGCACCGACAACCAAATACACGAGGAGGGATAGAAAGAAGAGGGGCCTTAGGGAAGAGAAGCTGATGCGGGGCTTTGTTCTCTAACCAATGAGAGGGCATTCAGTTAATGAGGTATGTAGAACAAAGGACAGCCTCAAACCAAAAACGTTTGGGGACATTCATATGAAGAAGTAAACCCCGAGCCACTTCAAGGAGGTGTCGGTTCTTCCGTTCAGCCACACCATTTTGTTGTGGTGTGCGGGCACAAGAGCTATGATGAAGTGAACCATGTGAAGCAAAGAACTCCATGAGATCACTATGAAAAAACTCTTTTGCATTGTCTGAGTGGAAAATTTGTATCTCAGTCTAGAATTGGGTGAAGACCATCCGCTGAAAGTCTTGGATAATWTTTGGTACTTCCTCTTGGGTTCGCATTGGATATACCCAAGTATATCTAGAATAATCATCAATGAAGGTAATGAAGTACTTATAGCCACTCTCAGAAGGTAAAGTAACAGGGCCCCATACATCAGAATGAACAATGTGAAAAGGAAACTYARATTTACTATTTTTCTGAAGAAAATGAGTTCTACAATGCTTGCTTAACTGACACGTTTGACAAGAGAAATCAGAAACAGACATTGACTTACATAGTTCTGGGAATACAACTTTAAAGGACTCAAAAGACAAATGACCAAGACGACAATGCCATAAATACACTTTACTCTTTCTGAACTGACTCATAGACTCTGTAACATGAAGACCAGCTGTATTCTCCAGCATGTAGAGTCCATCAACCATACGTCCCCTACCAATTGTCCTCCCCGAGGCCAGATCCTGAATCACACAATAAGAAGGGAAAAAGGTTACTGAACAGTTTAAGGAATTAGTAACACTACTAACTGAGAACAAATTCATGGGAAATTTTGGAACATGAAGAACATCARGAAGTGTAAGACCAAGAGGAAGAGAGAGAGTTCCTTGACCAGCTATGGAAGTGTATGATCCATCAGCTAGTCTCACCTTGTCTCTTCCAGAAAGAGGGTGGTAGGTTTGAAAGTAAGAGGACATACCAGTCATGTGTTTTGACGCTCCAGAATCAATGATCCATGGAGAGTCAAGGTTGTAAGAAGCAACATGGAAAGCTGTGGCAGGGTTACCTGATGTTGATGCAAATGAGGTTGTGGGAGGACCATCCGTCTGGCGAATTGCTCTACCATAGAGCTCTAGATGGTCACGGAAGGAGTTTACAATACCTTCCCTTGGGTCAGATCCAGAGAGATGTGTTTGAGTCACAGTAGGAATGGGGGGCTGATTCTCCCGAGTAACCATGTTGGCCATGTGGTGTTTCTTTGTACCTTGCTGCCCGGACCTTTTATTCACATCTGAGCCTTGCTTCTTAGTTAGATCTTGAGCCCATTTTGGTTTCCCATGGA